GGGGAGGCGGCGGCGGGCGCGCAGGACCCGCACGCCAAGCACCTGTACACGGCCGACATGTTCACGCACGGGATCCAGAGCGCCGCGCACTTCGTCATGTTCTTCGCGCCCTGGTGTGGACACTGCCAGCGGCTGCAGCCGACCTGGAACGACCTGGGAGACAAGTATAACAGCATGGAAGACGCCAAGGTCTACGTGGCCAAGGTGGACTGCACGGCCAGCTCGGACGTGTGCTCCGCCCAGGGCGTGCGCGGGTACCCCACCTTAAAGTTTTTCAAGCCTGGCCAAGAAGCTGTGAAGTACCAGGGTCCTCGGGACTTCCAGACGCTGGAAAACTGGATGCTGCAGACGCTGAACCAGGAGCCGGCGACACCAGAGCCAGCAGTAGAACCGCCCAGAGCCCCTGAGCTCAAGCAGGGGCTGTACGAGCTCTCAGCGAGCAACTTTGAGCCGCATGTCGCACAAGGCGACCACTTTATCAAGTTCTTCGCTCCGTGGTGTGGTCACTGCAAAGCCCTGGCTCCGACCTGGGAGCAGCTGGCGCTGGGCCTTGAACATTCCGAAACTGTCAAGATTGGCAAGGTCGATTGTACACAGCACTACGAGCTCTGCTCGGGGAACCAGGTCCGCGGCTATCCCACTCTGCTGTGGTTCCGAGACGGGAAGAAGGTTGACCAGTACAAAGGGAAGCGGGATTTGGAGTCCCTGAGAGAGTACGTGGAGTCACAGCTGCAGAGGACAGAGCCGGGCGCCCCAGAGACCGAGACTGCTGCGCCCTCGGACGCCCCCGGGCTGGCCGCCAAGCCCGAGGCCAGCAAGGGCACTGTGTTGGCGCTCACTGAAAATAACTTCGATGACACTATTGCAGAAGGAATAACCTTTGTCAAGTTTTATGCTCCATGGTGTGGTCATTGTAAGAATTTGGCTCCTACCTGGGAGCAACTTGCTAAAAAGGAATTCCCTGGTTTGGCAGAGGTCAAGATCGCTGAAGTAGACTGCACGGCAGAGCGGAATACTTGCAGCAAGTACTCGGTACGAGGCTATCCCACGTTGTTGCTTTTCCGTGGAGGGCAGAAAGTCAGTGAGCACAGTGGAGGGAGAGACCTCGAATCGTTACACCGCTTTGTCCTGGGCCAGGCCAAAGACGAGCTGTAGCAACCCACCTGAAGTCGCCTCTGCGGCCGGGCCTTGTGCTCCCAAGCGTCGGGAGTTGAGTCACACAGACGTCTCCGGGTTCCACATGACGGAAAGCTGAATGTACTAAACTTGTGGTGTCTTCTTTGTGTGTGCGTTTCTTAAACCAACACACCCTACGGATTCTTTACTAAGTTTCTCTGAGTAAATGTGCAACTCGTGGTCACTGTGTAAACTAAATATTTTCAGTGTCAATACATCCCCTTGAACCTTCTCTGGATGAAATTTAAATGGTTTTCTTTGAGACTAAAATAGAGTTGAGGAAAATCAAATTGCTGGACTATTTTTGGCTCCTGAGCGATTTGGGGGAAAGCATCATTCAAAGTGCAGTTTTTTAACTGCCCCCGAGTTCCGGAAAGGTGGCTTTGTGGCAGTGTTGACCTTCCTCTGATCGGAAGGTCACAATTGGCTTATTAATAATGTGGTAGGTCCGTAGCTTGGAGCATATTTAAAAACAAAAACCCACATCCGGAAGATACCTTCACATCCACTACTGGATTCTCTGTTTTTGTTAACACTTCTCTCGCCGGGAGAGGTCAGCCATAAGGCAAGCAGGGGTACTTCTGACACGTGCCTGAGTAAGATAATGCTGATGCCATAATTTTGTGTGTGTTAATACTTGTCAAATCAGTCACTGTTCAAGGGAGACTTCTGTTTGTTTCTCACGGGGTGAAAGATTTCGTTAAGACGTCGTGTTAACACGAAGCCGGAGTCCACCTGAGCTTTAAGCTTTGATATCTTCCATAGAAAGCGTAGGCACGGAAGGATCCACGTGGCTCCTGACTATTCCATTAACTCATAGAAAGATTCTGGTTGTATTTGCCACCCGGGGGGAGAGGCCCAGATGGGCCTCCCTAGGCCTGGGTGTCCAGTCACCAGGGAGACCCTGCAGCCCCCATCCGAAGTAGTCCTTGTAGAGGTTTTACTTTGTCCCTTCCGCCCTTCAAGGAGGTCGACCTTCTAATGTATGAAGAGTGGGATACATTTGATGTCAAGACCAAAGACAGATGTCAGCAGGACTGCTGCGGCCCTGGTCTGCGTGGCCACGCCAGCCATGGGTGCAGCGGCGTGCTCTAACTCCTGCCACCCTCGTGATTAAACGCTCTTACCATCACCCTCGGGGCGTAGGCAGTGGTAGGCCTGGACTCCTTTGGGATATGTTTGTCTGCTCTACCATGGAGTTTCTCCTCATGGCAGCCGCTCTGTCCAACACCCTTCACTCCCCATGCGGGGGTGCTGGCTGACAATCGGCGCCCAGCAGTGAGTGGTAGGAATCTTAGAAACGAGACCACTTAGACTGTCTGAGGCAGAACATAACAGAGCAGCGTCTCGACCAACCTCTGCCTTAAAGGAAATCTTTATTAATCACGTGTGATTCACAGATGTTCTGTTAAAAAACAAACAAACAAACCCAACTTCCTAGAGAAGCACAACCGTCATGAGTGTGGCTTCAGCTTTGCATCATGAGTCTTGTATTCAGAGAAAGTCAAAGTGGTACAATTTGTTTACACTATGATACTTTCTAAATAAACTCTTTTTTTTTAAAAAAAAAGAATACTTATAAACTGAGATGAGTGTAATAGAGGAAAATTACACTCACCTAAGTTTATTATTATTCTATGAATTATGATTTTTTAATTATGATATTTTTAGCTGTAAGTGACAAAATAACCAATAAACAGTGGCTTAGATAACAGGTTAAATTTGTCTCCTGTCCAAAGAAGCCTGGGGGAAACTGGTTCTAGAATTGGTTCACTGGGGATGCTATCAAGAACTTCCTATTCTTCTGCTCTGCCATCTTTAAGTGTTGGCTTTTCACCTTCAGTCTTCTTGTCGCAATATCCGTAGAGATCCTAAGGAAATATTCAGTAAAATCAGTTCCCAGGGGCCCAGAATAATAATAATAGGACGAGGGCTTTTAAATCTCAGTGCATACTAAAATTCAGATATGTGCAGAAAATGTACTGTATTTGCTTAAACTGTTTTTTTTCCTGGGCCCCACCTGTTGGATAATGGAAAAAAAAAAGAAAAAAAAAGTATTCAAATATCTAATTTGTTTTAAAGCTTAGATTGGTAACTGAATTAGCTCAAAAAGGATTACTTCCTCTGTGATAAAAAGTGTTTGCTCACTAATTCTCTCCCTAAGAGAGCATCAGGGTGTTTGAAAGAGCGATGTGACTTACTTGTGACTTCCGCGGCATTGTAGCAAATGGCCTGTGCAGATCTTCAGAGTATGCTGGTTGGTATCATCTGGTCCTTGTGTTCCTTGCTGGTCTCCATTTGTGGCTAGTCTGTTCTTTGACTTGAGCAGTGCTTTTGGTGGCTCTCTTTGGCTGATGCTGATTACAGACTCCGCATTTCTCACCAAATCTTACATTTAGCCCACTGACCAGAGATCACTCCCATTACACAAGAGCAATGGGCTCCAAGTTTCTTTGTTTATCTACCCTCAATTTGTGTATTTACCTACATATGTAGTCAACATATATATGTATATATATATAGTTGATTCATGCTTATTGTTCACCTTTTATAAATATAGAAAGAAGTCCTACTATTTTCTCCTTTGGCTACTAAGGGGGTTTTGGATTTCAACAACCTTCTAAGAGGAAGAGAGAACTGGCTCAGGAACACCACACAGAGTCTTATTGACATCAACCTTACTCTGAGCACAGCTGAAAAAAAAAATCTAAAAATTCGTAACCCTCAGCCAGTTTAGAGTTTGAATTAAGACTATGCTGCTTGACAATGTCCAGTGGAACCTTAACTGGAAAAACAAAACAAAACGGGGTCCCAGGCAGATTGGAACGAGGGCCCAGGCAGCGGGTCCGGTCCCTCCCGGCCCCTCTCTGGTCCGCGGGCTCCGAAGCCGGAAGCCCCGCGCCCGCGCGTTCGCGTCGGCAGGGCGGTTGCTAAGCGGCGGCGGAGGCTCCGGCGCGCCGGGTACTTGCTGCTGCGGCTCGGCCTGCGCCTGGGGCTTTCCCACTTTTTCGGGCCGCCTGGCGCTCTGTGACCATGCTGCGCCGGGCTTGGGGCTTCCTGCTGCCCACCTTGGCGGGCCAGGAGTATGACTCCGACCGCCACTTTGACGAGCTCTTCCGGAAGCTGAACCGCCACGGGCGCGGGATGGTGGACATCAAGGAGCTGCAGAAAGGACTGGAAAGCATGGGCATCCCTCTGGGTCAGGACAAGGTGGGCCGCGGTGGCGCCCGGGCGCAGGGGGGTGCGCGGCTTGAGGCCGGGTGGGGTGGAGACGACCCCCGCGGCCCTCCCGCAGCTCCCGTCTGGGCTCAGGCGTTCTGCGGGTGCGGGCTGCTTCTCTCGGAAGACCGCGCTTGCGAAATACTTCCCGCACGTTGGTTTTCTATTAGCGAGCTGCTGTGGTGAAAACACAGCGCAACCTTACCGTCTTGCCTAAGTGGGGCCCACCCTTCGAAACCTGCGAAAGCCCGGGTTACATCAACAACCCCCGTTAACAACCCCCTACACCCCCACTGTGGACCGGTTGCCCAGCCTGCGTCCAAATTCGGTTATCTCTTGGGAACTCTGAGGGTCCCCCTTGGTGGCCGGTGAGGGCTCATCCGGAGCTCTCTCCACCGGCATCCCACAGCTTGGGGACTCGGCCTGTCGGCGCAAGAGCTTGCTCCAGAAAGCTCCATCCTCAGGGCGAGGGCTCACTCCGAGCTCCAGCACGCGTTTTGGGGCTTTCCTGTGTGTGCACGTGCAGTTCGTCTGATGCAGCCAGGGGGCGATGCTGTGATACTGATACATTAATTACAGCCACATATTTTAAGTTTAACCTAATACTATAGAAATAGCGGTACTGGACTATAATGCTACACTATACATTATGGTATAGGATTGTCACTAAGCTTAACAAATGACAATATAAATAATTACTGCTGTATTTTCAGAGGATCCACATTTCCACAGCTGTTCATTTGACCTGCTGGTAAATAAAGTCAATCTTTGTTTCAGTCTTTGTTTTACTGTAAGCTTCTCTGAGAGACCATAAGGTCTGGTAGCAGCATGGTAGCAGCATGGGAGTGTTGGTGTGGGTCTATGTGCATTTGAAAAGGGGACATCAGTTATTGCAGAAATCTTTTTCTTATGAAGAGACTGAATTTAATTCACTAAGAGAAAATAAATAATACTTAATAATTTTTTTCTGACAGGCTTGAATTAAATGATGGATGTGAAGGCAAAGATCTCTGAGTCCAGAAAAAAACATACATTTCTCACAGCACCATTTAGTGTTAAGTCTGTAATTCCTAGGATTTATAAAGTTTGTGCCAGAGAAATGGGGAGATAACTACATACCATGGATAATGCTATATCACATTTTTATTATGGAAATTGATGGTTTATGCTGTTAGGCCCGCCCAACCACAGATGCCAGTCAGTTACAAACAATGTGCATTGATTTCACTGGATTCTATATGCCAAGGGTTTTTGCTGCACTCGCTCTGCATTATACAGAATCAGAAAACAAACTGGCGATACTATGCTTTCTTTTTGGATACATCCCCAGAATCTTCTTAATTCCTTTCTCTTTTCAGCGAAGAGCTGGGTCCGCTGCTTCATCAGACTGTGCAGAGTCAGCCTGTGCATGTATCCCAGTGGTTCCCAACCAGGGAGGGATGATTTTGCCCTTCAGGGACATTTGCCATTTTTGGCCTTTTTGATGGTCATGACAGCAGGTGTGTGTGTGTGTGTGTGTGTGTGTGTGTGTGTGTGTGTGTGTGTGTGTGTGATACTAGCATCTAGTGAGTAAAGGCCAGGGATGCTGCTAAACATGCACAATGCATGGGACAACAAAGAATTATCTGGTCCCAAATGCCAATAGTGTTGAGGCTGATAAACCCTGACTTGTCTCAGTCACAAGCCCCCAGTGTCCCTTGCTCTTCCTCATGTCGATGAATATGCCATTTACTTCACAGAATGCACTGAGGTGAACTGGCATGAACATCTTTGGATTTCTGGCCCTCTCATAAAGTTTCCTCAACTGTAAAGTGTGGATGTTAATAGTGCTTACCTCATAGGATTGTTATGAATGATTAGTGGGCAAGTAAATAATGAAAAATGCTTTAAATTGTTTATTGAGCTTAAAACCATTAGTAAGCCACAACAAATACGGCATGACTATGATCTTACCTTTATTTACTCCCACAATCGTTTTCTTTCCTTTAGTCTCAGGGAATGAGGTGTTTTTCCTCCTTTTCAAGGTTCATTATTCTACTTACATTTTAAATCTCATGTCCTTTCATTTCCTTGAAAACAGAGAAAGTACACCTTCCCTTTTTTTTTTATTATAAATTTTTTCTTTCTTTCTTTCTTTTTTTTTCCAGCAAAAGTATGGAAATCTTAGGCAAGCACCTTCCCTTCTTTTATCCTGTATTTCCGAGTTCTTCCTCTTAATAATAACAATCCTTCCTTGACCCTAGTCCCCCATCTAGATAATTGTCCTACCTCTGCCCTCCCTTTGCAATCAAGGCAGAGCTAGATCTACACTTTCTGCCTTGACTTCTCTTACTCTTCAAGGCTCCAGCTATCATCTTAGTGTGGGTGACTCACAAATGAATAGCTGTCCCCAGCTTCTGAGTCTGTCCACTTCCCTCTGTGTTCACAGTTTTGGTAAAGCGCTCCACTACCCAGTCATTCTAGACTTTTCCTTTTTCCTTATCTCACATCCAGTTAATCACAGGGTGCTGTGTAATTCCTTAATATGTTTCACAACCAACTTGCTTTTTCCTGATCCCACATTGCTCTTGGTAAACCCAGGCCCCTGCCATCTCTCTCACGTAAGTTAGTGCTACAGTCTTATAAACTGTCTTCCTATCTTTACTTTTTGCCATTTATTTCCTCCCCACTGCCACCATATAACACTTGGGAAAGGTACAACTGATTCTTAAATGCTCTTGCTTAAAATTATTCAGGGGTTTGACAATGTCAGTGGGAAAAGTCCAAGACCCTCAGCCTTGTCTACAAGGATACATGATTTCTTCGTGGGTGTTGAGTTTGCTGGGCAGTTCTCCACCATGCATTTGTTTGAGGATCCAGGCTCCTTCCGAGGGTTTGCCATCCTCAAGGGTCTCATCATCTTCATTCAGCTAGTCAAAGTGGAATGAGCATGAAGTAATATGTGTAGGAAGATTTATTGGCCACACCCAGAAGTGGTACATGTTACTTTCACTCATATTGGAGAGATCTTGTTCACACAACCATGCTTAACTGCAAGGAAGACTGAGAAATGTAATCTAGCCATGTGCCCAAAGAAGATGAGAAGAAATTTTGGTAGAAAGCTCATGGTTTCTGCCATATTCTTCACCCACCCATCCCTTTGCTGACCATTTTTTAAATTTCGGAATATTACAGGGGTACAAATGTTTAGGTTACATATCTTGCCTTTACCCCGCCCAACTCAGAGCTACAAGCATACCCATCCCCCAGGCAGTGCACACTGCACCTATTAGGTGTGAATATACCCATCCCCTCCTCCCCCGTACCACCTGCCCAACAGCCGATGAATGTTACTACCATATGTGCACTTAAGTGTTGATCAGATAAGACCAATTTGATGGTGAGTACATGTGATGCTTGTTTTTCCATTCTTGGGATACTTCACTTAGTAGAATGAGCTCCAGATCCGCTATTTGTTTTTTAATATTTAACTTGTCATCTCTTTTATGAAGATTTCCCTCATCTTTATCCCTTCTTCAGAGCTTACCACTTACATCTCCGTTCTCCACTAAACCTTGAATAGTTTCTATTGTAGTGGCTTTAGCACATTATTACACTTACTTGCTTACATATGTGTGTACATGTCTGTCTGCATTATTATACAAAATCTATTCTTTTCCGCATTTCACAGATGAGGACTTTTTTTTTTCTTTTTTTTTAATTTCGGCATATTATGGGGGTACAGATTTTAAGGTTTCAATAAATGCCCATTTCCCCCTCCCCCCAAAAGTCTGAGTCTCAAGCATGACCATCCCCCAGATGGTGCACATCTCACTCATTATGTATGTATTTACCCGTCCCTCCTCCCCCCTCCCACGTGCCCAATACCCTATTACTGTAGTACCTATGTGTCCACTTAGGTGCTGCTCAGTTAATACCAGTTTGCTGGTGAGTATATCTGTGACTTGCTTTTCCATTCTTGGTATACTTCAACTTAGTAGTATGTTCCAGCCTAACCAGATAACATCAAAATTATACAAATGGACTATACGACCGTTGTTCTTAGAGCTGAATAGTACTCAGGTGATACAGTTAGTAACCCATTTTTTATATCGCCATTCTTGGATGATGGGCGCTTGCTGCCCAGCCTTGGCAATTATAGAGTTGTGCTGGCTAAATATCTCGAGTGCAGGTGTCTTTTTTGCTAAGTGTCATTGGTCTTTTGGTAGATGCCCAGAATGGGATTGCGGATCGAATGGTAGATTCACTTGTATCCGTTTAAGTATCTCCATATAGCTTTCCACAGAGGTTTGAACTAGTTTGCAGTCCACCAGCAGTGTAGGTGTTCCTCTCTCTCCGCCCATGCCGACATTGCATGCTTTGGGACTTATCTGATAAAGGCACTTTTCACGGTTAAGTGGATATCCTCATTGTGGCTTTTGATTTGCATTTCCCTGTGATTAGAGAATGTTGCAGCATTTTCTATGTTTGTGGCCATTCTTCTGTCTTCTTTAGAAAAGTTCTGTTCAAGTCTTTGGCGCCACTCTTTTAATAGTTGATTTAAGTTTTTCTTGCCTGATTTTCATAGATTTAAGTCAAATATTCGTAGTTATACAACAAATTATCCGGGTAGGATTAGAGTGCAAAATTTCTCTTCTAGATGGTCTATGTCCCTTTGTTTTCCCCACACGGGAAAAAATGTTTTTCTGGCTGTGCGCAGGAAGCTTGAATAACGCTCATTGATCATGATCCCATGTTAATTATATGTTTGAATTGCTACATGTAGAAATTATGGGGACTCACATCATCTTGCTGGCTAGGCGATGTCACAAAAATTTTCCTCTAGAAGTTCTACTTAATATATTCATACTGCGGGGCGTTTAAGTCTGTTATCCAGCGTCAGAGTTGGATTCTTCGTGAGGTGAAGAGGTGTGGGCCCTGTTGTAGCCTTCATACAGGTGGCTATCCAGTTTTCCCAGCACATGTTACGTTGAAAAGGATTCTTTTTCCCA